CAGCCAAGAGCCTGACAATTTACTATGCCTCAGCAGACAAACAGGCTGACCAGAGCCTCTGCCGATAAAAGACACTCCCCAGCAATTACATCCTTTCTAGCAGGAGGCTGCACAGGTTTCAAAAAAATTAAGCTGCTGAACAAGAAAATGCTGGGATTCTTCCAAACAAGGAAAGCTTGTGAATGAGCAACATATTAATGCTGCGCATTAAATGTGCCCCTACACATCTTTACCTACTGTTAGAAAGAGGTGGCACTTTGATATAATTGGTTCTTGGCTGCAGCAGCCGTCAACAGAGCTTGGCTGTTGCAATAATCCCTTGGGAATCACACAGCTAATTAAAGCCCAGGAGCTGGTGACCAGCAGCTTCTCCTTTCTCTCCGGCTACATCTGTGCTAATCAGAGGTAGGTAGGTCTCAAGGAAGTCTTGTGCTGAAATGTGCTAATCAAGGAAAGAAGGATTCAGCATCAAAGCTTGGTGCTTTATCAAATCCTAAATATCCCAATGCAATGAGCTGAGAGAGATTTCAGAGCCCTGCCTAATAGCTGGGCGGGAGGGGATCGGCAGCGCTGGGTAGCTGTGCTGTGCTGGGGAGATGGTAAGACAAGGCTTTTTCTGGGGATAAACGAGTGCTTGCTTTCTCAGGAACCTATTGTATACACCCGAGAGCTTTGAGAAACATCCATGTCGGAAGCCCTGCCGGTTGGCCACCGCCAAGCGTGGTGCTGCAAGCTGCGGCTGCAAGGCAGGGTGGGTTACAGAGACCCAGCCAGGGCCTGCTGCCAGGGGTAACCACAGGGAGGAGACCAGATTGAATTGGTGCGTACGGGACACTACAGGGACCCTGTAAAGTCATTTATAAAACCTCAGTGATTCTTCCAATCCCTTGAATAAATGGAGACAGGTGCTGGGAACGGCTGTACATCACTGTGCATCTTGGGTTTACGGCATGGAGAGCTCCATCGTGGGGAAGGTCGCCCTGAGTGGGCCGAGTCCTGCGTGCAAGCCCTGCCAGGGCAGCTCACCTGCTGGATTTTTAGTAATTTAGGTTTTGTGCTAACCCAAACACCCACTCTGAACTTTCTCTGTGTCCAGGTTTGATTCATGAGGTGGAGCTGGCTTAAGTGGTGGCAGAGAAGTGGAGGGTGAAGATGGCTCTCCTGGGTATCCCGCTCCCATCACAAATGAAGAGGACGAGGTAAGGTAACAAAAGTGGTATAATCTGAAATTTAGTGTTGTAAATAACCCGTACCGAATTATCTGAGAGCACATAGAGGTTTCTAGTTGCTCATTCTCACTCCTAATATTCCTGTACAATAAAACGTTTGTCTGGTCTCACAACTGAGAAGAAAATAGTGATACAAGCTTTAGAATATGGTAATGGAATGACTTAAATGGTAGTGGAATGACTTAAATGACTGGACTGGCAATTACCGGATATTACCTATTCAGGAAGGGTAGAGTAAGTAGGGGAAGAAGCAGCAGCAATTTTAAATACTGTAGACTAAAAAGGCTACTGAGCACCTATCAGCGGGCGTGATGATAAAGCTCAGGAAAGGGGACTAATGGGCCCACTAGAAAACAGATGGGCGACTTTTCAGTTGCCCTTGTAATGAAAAGATGAACTGCTGGAGCCATGCTGGGCACTCTGCATTTCCTAAAATTATTTCTAGAGGGGCTTTCTAATATGAGATGCTGGTATGTTACCTTGAGCCATATGATGATGTCTAGAGACAAAAATCAGTGTCCTGGAAGTTGTTGGTTGAAGACCGACAGAGTCTGGATCTACCCACAGATCTGTGCACATCTACCTACATATAAATGTACAGAAATACTTGCCACTTCTACCCCTGCTTTAGAAAAACCTAAGACTAGAATGACGAAAAATTGGGTAAACTTGACTAGAAACAAGAAAATGAAAACCAAAATGTAAATTTCTGAGAAGCTAGATAAAAGAAATAAAAAATTTTTTAAAAACTACAAAATGAGGTAATCTTTGGTTATACGGCCAGGAGGTTCAACTGTGATATGAAGGCAGCAATTAAAAAATGAAAACAATGCATATGGGAAGACAAAATAGGTAGTTCTATATACTTGATGTAAGAGAACACAATGATGATAAGGAAAGCTTAAAAAAGGCAAGACTAACAAAGATAAGGGTGATACAAGAGAAATTTTACTCTATTAGGAACAAAAGCAGTGATCAAAATGCAGCGGCGGCCTGTTGCTGACCATAAAAATACTGGTGTTGGGCATTTCTCAGTTTAAAGCAAGTGGGATGTGTATTTGCCGTTCTGTTAGCACCCAGGCAGAACAGTAAGAAGATGGAAAATAAGCCCGGATATTTCACCTAAAACAGCCACCTGGCTCACCCGCTTTGCCTTTAATGTAACGCTGGATACAGAGGTGGGTTCAGTGGAGCAACAGAGGGCAAAAATGACAACCCCGGTAAATAGAGGCTCGTTAATCTGACATCAGGGATAGGAATCTGAAAAGACAATCAGAAATCCATCAATAAAGAATTAAAGGCAAACATGCAATTAAAATCCATCAAAACCAGACCTTGTCATTCAACCAGGCTTAGTAAGTCTAATTACAAAGACGCATCACCTGGCATGGCACGCTGCAGTATGCGCAATGTTTACAGATAATTATCTACAATACAAAATAAGCGATGCACACGTGGATTGTCTCCCTGACCGATCCCAAACAGTTTGCCTCTGTGCTTCGAGCAGGGATGTTTCCTGCGCGATTCTGCTCAAATCACTGCCGGGCCTCATCCCGCTCGTCAGTGGTTGAGAAGCAAATCTAAAGCCATGCTTGACAACACGGGTAAGCAACAGCAGGGTGGGGAAACAGAGAAAACCAGGTACTGCTCAGTGAGCCAGGCCTGCCAAACAACGCGTGACTTAATTTTGCATTGAGCTGCATTAACACAAGGAAGAAAATGTTGTCCACAGCTGCAGGAAAGGGGAGTCTGTATCTCAACTATCCCAGAAAAGGCTGAGGGGAGGTCTAAAACGTAGCTCGTCTGTTCCCAAAAGGGTTAAGACAGTCTTTGAGGGTATAAACAAGGAAGAAGTGAGTAAGAAAGTCATGCCTTCTGTACAGAGCAGAAGGGAGACCAATCTCAGTGTCGGTTCTGATGTTCCTTCCTAAATGTCAAAAAATGGAAGGTCTGGGACACAAACATTATGGAAATCCTGGAGAAAATTCTTTGTAAGGAGAGACTTAAAGCAGCCCTGCCTGCTTATGGAGAAAACCAACAGGCCCCTTCAGTACTCTGCAAACATGTTCGGGGAGAAAAGACAAGGTACTAAAGGGGTTTTTAATTTGTCAGAGTAAGAAGGAACAAAGGCTGGGAGCTGAGGACAGACAACTCAAAGTGGAAAAAAGGCACGTGCTTGGTACAATAAGGGTGAGTAACTATTGGAACAAATCAGCAAAGAACTTGCCGGTTTAAGAGCTCTTCTCTTTAAAAGATTAGGTTTCATAAAACATTTTTTTCTTATTAGAGGTTGTAAGCCCAACACGTGTGACTCGAAGCACCCTGGCACCACGGCGGAATTGTGGCCAATTACAACAGGAGGAAGTGCCAATTACCTTTCTGGTGGCAGCTGTGATGACTGGCTTAGACATTAAAAAAAGAAAACCTTAAAAATAAAAAGCAAAAGAAATGCAATTGTTCAGGATTTGGACAATGCAAAAGGACTTCTTTCGGGCAATTAATTGGAATTTTAGCTAGAGAAGAACTTGCTGTAATGGCAGATAACACATTTCAGAGGCTTCTGTTTTAGCTGGAGAGTGGCACTTTGAGTGGGTATGACCCACAGAGTGGAGCCCGCAGGAACTGCGTGCCCCATTTCCAGTGACACTAACCTGCCTCTTTCACACAATGCAATTAAATTACAAACACTAATGTGGAAAGCAAATCAGCTGCAATCCTTCAACTTCATTTGTTCTTCCTTTCATTTTAAAACTATAGGTACACATCAGGCATCCAGCAGGGAAGTTGCAGACTTTGATGTTGTGTTTGCACAGCAGGTAGTAATTTCAAAAGTTTTGTTGTGCTTTTATTTTCCAGAATAAGTTAACCAGCCTCCTCCCGTGAAGGCGTATTTGCAGCCCTCCAGCCCTTTAAAGATGTGAAGCAGGAACAGAATGGAAGGATTTGTCACTGAACTCATTCATAAGACAAGTAGCCGCTTGCTAAAAGTCACAGCTTGTAACTTTGTGCAATGGCCGTACAGTGGTACATAACAGATGTACACACACAGCGTGTGTAAAGATAGCAATTAATTGGTGATAACAAAGATATGTAGAAAAATTAAAGTAGCTTCAAAGTGGTTCAATTTATGTATGTTCTAAGGGCACAGACTTCTCATTCAGCGACGCAGGACTAGCGCTCGTTTTGGTAGGTGAGATGCCCACCTAGCTGAACCCCTCTCCCCACCCCTCAGCCCCCTGCAGCGTCAGCCACTGCCACCCGCGGGCCGGTGGAGCCATCGCTGTAGGAGCAAACAGACTGCACTGCTGCCTGGGCCACCACTTCGCCCGCTTTCAGGCAGCACGGAGCCTGCAGCAGCAAGCACCGACACCTCCACCCACCCCTGCTGCCAAGGAGCTCTAGGGAAGCATCGCTCAGACAAACCCGAGTGCCTCCCTTTGGGCACAAGCCAAACTTACGAGCTTCGGCCCAGCGCTGCTTCTGCCCAGGGCTCCTTTGAAGCAGCTTGGACACCTTTGCTCCGGAGCATTCCAGGTTTCAGGAGAAATTATTAACATTTATACCAGTCCCAAAGCTCTGCCCAGCCCAATAAGCCTTCCCTGAATCTGAAGAGCTCAGTTGAGAAAGCGGAGTGGCTTTACAGCTCATTAGCCTCTCTGGACCTGCACAGCCTCCTGGGTGTGAGCACACCTCTCCCCCCGCAGCTCCCCCCCTACCCACATTGCCCAGGTAAGCTCTACCCGCCGCCTGGAAAAGGGAGCCTTTGGCAAACCCTGCTCCAGCAGCTCCGTGGCTGCTCCGAGGAGCAGAATCTTTCTTTAAAAGCTCCCACCCACACACCTACCCCTTTACCCAAACTTTTATTAGTAAAGGAAATTCAGCCTTGCACATTAGAAACTTTACTCCAGTAAAGCACAGCATAGTTACAGTTTCAGCACATGGAAATCCTAGAGGCCGTTTGCTGTTACTTACTTAAGTGACATTTTAATTATGCAGAAGATGTTAAAGGCTGCACAGGTCTCACTGTAAATTAGGGCTTCTCTCTTTTGACAATGATATTTTAATTCCCACAGACTTCGTACACACTCACTGCAGACTTGAGAAAGTTTACAAGCAAACAGGTAACCACAAAGTCAAAACTAAAAATGCAGCAGGACAGAGTTAAGCACCAATCAAAAAAACCTCTCCACAGCTGCAGAGACAAAAATGAAAATAAAGCACCAAGAACACCTTAGCTTGAGAGACTATTACTTTCAGATGTATCAGTATGAAGACTGGAGCTCTATAATTTCAGTCCTTAAGTACATGTAAAGAGACTTCCTGAAATAAAATTAAGATGACAACTGATAGCCAACAGGCAGCCACCACTAATTATTTAATTAATCATGTATTGAAATCTGCATTGAGACAACTGAAAAATCTGCCTCCGATGTAAACATTTCAGCGTCGATATACAAAAGAGTAATTACAAAAGACAGACACCCCTTCTCCAAAATCTGAATTAACTACAGTACCTGTGTATATGGATACTGCACAGTCTTCAAGGTCTAGTACATTATGAAGATCTTTTGCAATCAACTTTAACATCACTTGTTGGTTTGCCATTATGGATATCTGTAATATGAATGAATCTCATACAAGCAAGTTTAATTAATTTTATGGTACCATTACAACGTGTGTGTGTGTACATACACATACACGCACAGAGGCACAAAATTTCCTTGTTACCTTCAGAAAAATTAATAAAAAGTAAACAAACTGTGACATAAAGGTGGCTTGAGGTTAATTTACTGATATTGCTATAAGCAAGACAAAAAAAAAATAAATCAAATGCTTCAAATTAATGTCTTGCAAGTATGTTATTTGTGGGTGACTATAAGCATTTAAAAACAATACCACCATGGGAAGGACTCAAATAAGGCAAGAACTTCACAAACCAAACTGACAGAAATACCAAGCCTTTATTACAAAGAAAAATTATTCCACAGGAGAGGCTGGCTTGCTTCCATGCATGCTGTCAGTCATATCCACCTGCTGAGTGTGGAGAAGTGCTTCTGCTAGACTCATTAATTCCCCAAGACACCATTAGGCTTTGTTCTTGGCTACAGGTGCGTGGGCATTTTGATTCAACTGAATTGCTTGCTAGAATTTTGTTGCCAGCACTGAATGGGCCAAAATAATGAACCTGACTGTTGGACATCCAAACACCGCAAGGGAAGAGGGAAAAAAATAAAACAATAATAATAATATTTAAAAAAAAAAATCACACACCGGACACCATTATCACTAAGCTAAGTCAAATGACTTGCTTTACATCCAGATTGTAAATAATTTCACAAGCAGGGAAATGAATATGCTCAAGTCTTATCTTCACTGGGGGAGCGTGAAGAATGGTTGCTGAATCCTTTCACTGGTACGTGCAAGCACACGGTCACAAAGCCTGAAAGCCAGCAGAACTAGACTGAATTAATGTTATCTATTGTTGTTTGGATTTTGAACAAAATTGATGGAGTATGAACCAGTTGATGAATCCTGTTTTATCTGGAAATTTTCTGTTGACAGGCCAAAGGGGCGGAGAACCAAATTCCCAAGATCCTTCAGCTTGCCTACAATGAAAAGGAGAGATAACACGTTGAGTATTAAGCAGAGGGAAAACTCCCATTGAATTATGCCCAGCTACACAGTCCAGCTCTACTAATTTATCTACTAACAAGGTAAATGCTGTGGAAATCCCTGCAGTTTGTTGAATGTTTAGGCTCTTACATGAATTAAAAAAAATCCCAATTGTGATGTAATTACTGTCAACTTTGGGGCTGAAAACATCACCATGCTGGTTCTGAACGGTTTGTTGGACAGCCCTGATGAAGAGCCGGTGGCTGCAGACAGTCGTGGCTATGTGGCTATAGCTACCCAGAAGCACCTTATTTCCTCAGTTATAAGCTCGTGAGGCACGAGAGTTTAACAGCTCACAAAAAAGCACCGGTGTCCCCTATCCTTACGCTTGGATATAACCCTGATAGCTGCCAACATTCAGTTTTCTAACACAACGTTTTCAGTTCTGGTCATTTCTGATGCAGCTACAGCTCTATAGGCAATCACAAACCAGCCTAGACTACCCAAGAAATAATGAAAGCCAAACTTCAAACTGCTCATTTGTAATTATTAAAAATCCCTTTCTAAATGTGTATATTGATATAAAGAAAAATAAAACAAATTCATTCTTGCAACTCTGTCTGCACCTATAGACTAAGCAGTTCCACCTTAAGCATACAACTTTATAGCCATTTTGCCTGCAAAAAAACTCAGCGTGATGTCATGTGACATGACATCATTAACTCACTTCCAAAACTACAGTCCTCCAGGATAACTTACCACTGCTAAGAGCTCTAAGCAACTATGATTTAACAAGTGTTGTTAAACATACAAAGGGTATGACAGTTAATAAAATCTGAAGGCTTCTACCAATATACATGTATCCCACATGCTTTCTGACTCTAGAAAACTAATCTCGCTACCACCTGTAAAAGGGGAAGGGTGACAAAAGGACATCCTTTTTAAAAAAATCTTATCTATATAGAGATAATAGAATAGATAAAATGCATAAAATTAAACAAGAAGCAGAGGTAACAACCTCTGTGCTGGCTAAACACAAACTGAGGCCCCGGCATAACAAGACAAAGGAGGAAGATGGTCAGTTTTCCAAGAAAAACATCATTTTTCTGCCTGACTTCAATGCAGAATTGTAGACGTTTCCCAAAGAACAACCAGGAGAAGTCTTGACAAGTTGAAGCCTACCCTATGTTTGCATTCACAGGCTACACACCACCTTTCAAAAAGCCTTCTACCTCTACTAGCTCTTAAAGGCAATGGATTTTGTTTTGCTTGAGGTCCCTTCCAACCTAGGATTCTATGATCCTATGATTTTGTGCATGCACAGGGTGGGGGAAAAGTGAGGTCAACAACAAGAGCTGGCACACAGGAAATCCAGTTAAGCATCTGAAGTAGTCTCAATCAAGTAACTACAACACGCAAATGCCACACCTATTGCTGCTTGCACGCGTGTGCTTTCCGCAAGCCACATTAAGTTATGAGAAACATCTCTGTTATTCTAGCCATCTTCACCTTTATTTCTATTTCTAAACTAACATACTAGAATCTAACTGCAGAGTCATATGAACACTTATCATTTAGTTTCTTTGCTTTTCCTAAGTTCTTTTGTTCATTTGAAAGCCCCATTTCTGCCCAGCAGTGCAATCATCACTACTGCTATTAAGTAAGTTTCCTCGCTACAATGTGTCAGCCAGAATTAAGTTCAGGCGTTGTTGCTAAGCCTCACTGGAGAAGTAACTTCACAGCACTGATAAAGCAGTGTAGAAACAAGGAGCAAAGCCCTATGTAAATTCCTGAGAGAAAGAGACAAGCGGTATTTATGTTGCACAAACAGAGTACAAACAGATCAAGAGTTTTGCCTTGCATGACACCGCATGACTGTGCTCAAAACAGAAGCCATATCCACGCCTGAACTCATCCCATGGGAGCATGCCCCTTATCTCTTACAATCTGGCAACAATTCAAGTCAGGTTGGACACCATCACCATAAACCAAACTATGCTGTTTTTTCAATCACGTTTCCAAAACCGAACTGGGGGTAGGGGGAGCTTTTTTGAACACATTCACAGAAAATACAAAAAGAAGCAATAGCTGGGGAAAAACTTAAACATTTTATTCTAAGGAACAACTCAGTCCTGCATAAAGAAACTAGCAGTTAGCATTACTATGGTACTCCTAAATATGCCAAAGTAATTAAGATCTTGCATCAAAGTGCACGTTCACAACTGGGTATCTTCCAGAGATTTGTGTAATTATTTTAAAGCAAGACTGGTCTTTGAGAGCCAACATGGAAATTTCATGGCCTTACACAGGGAGAGACACAACCTTAGCCTACAAAAGCAGTGAGTTGGTGAGACAGAATTTGTCTTCAGTTTAGGTGGGTTTTTTTTTTTCTGTGTGGTTTAACAGATGACCTGGCCAAAGTCATTCCAGTGAGTGGCTCGGCTAGGCTTAGCTTCTTTGTAGTGGTGGTGGCTTTTTTTTTTTAAAGCTACACCCTGTTTAAGCTAAGTTAACTATTAAGTTCATAATTTTATACTGCATCCTAAAAGCATTTTTGTTCTAAAACTATAAAGTTGTTCATAGTATCTCTATGACTGGGATGAATAGTTGCTATTGTACTTCTAGACAAACATTTGGTCATTGCTTCGCTTAGTTTGGGGTGAGAAGTGTCTTTGTCTACTGGTGGAAGAATTCTGGCATAGTTCGGCATTGCTAGAGCCAGTTGTAAACAGTTCACAAGTTATCCAGGCCCTGCAGCTGGCTCAGGAGCAGGCAGACGAGTTTGCCTATTTCAGGAAACTGAGAGAGGTCTTTTCTAATTGGAGTTAGTACGATGGCTCTTTTCCGGTCATACCAGAGCCAATGAACAGAGAACAACTGCCTTGATAGTCTTGCTTGTAGCTAGGCCAGCTCTTTGGGAGAAGCTAAAGACTGGATGATAGATTTAATACTTTATTCTTCATCTCACTGGGATTGAATAATTAAAACAATACAGTTGTAGGTCACCTTCCTGTTCTATCACTTAAATCCACATACAGCAATGCCTTTTGGTGCAGCCACATTTAATAAATTGTTAATGAAGCAGAAGAAAGCCTTGCCTTTTCCGGGAACTCAAGCCCAAAGCACTGTTCCTGCTGTCTTGGCACACATAAACCCATCATTGTAGGAAAGCCCTATTTCCTCCTCCCCCACTCTCCTTTCATCCCTAAATTAAGATCTGTAGTTAAGTCCAGCCTCCCCCTCCCCCCAAAGAAAAGCTCTCTTAAAACAGAGACTGTGCTTGAAGGAAGGAAAAAGGCATGTGGAGCTGTGACTCAGCTGCAAAGAGTTCTCAGCAGTCAAACACTCATTTGTCCCCGAGCAGGGTCACATTCTCCTCTCCAAGACTGTATTTTCATAGATCTTGTTCTTTATATTTTAGAGAGCCCATGTCTACTTTTCACCTGGAACTCTAGCACGTTAAATTTCTTCAGCAAAGCAATATTCAGAGCTTAACAAGAAAACTAACTGGTAAAAATCAATTTAGGGCTCAGGAGCCTGTGATTCATTACTCGCCTAAATGGCAGCGTAACATCCTGTTGCAAAAGGCAGATGCACAAAAAGATTTCTCACTATTTATGTTAACATTGAACAGCCAAAATTAATTGCTATTCAGTCTTTCTGGCAGTAATTCTAGTGTAGTTGCTAGTGTCAATGTGGTGTTTGGAAGTTGAAAAGCTGTACATTATTTGTGTTAAGAATTTTTTTTGGATAAAAGACAAATTTCCTGATGAGGTCTCATCTTTGTATAACTTTCTCTACTACCAACAACATTTCTTAAGCAATTAAAAGAGCGAGGGCAAATCCTTTTCCCTTCCCTAAATGGTAACTGAGGACTGAACTGAAAGTAACTGTATATTGGCTCTGGTTTGAACTATTTAAAGTGACCTTCCTATATACAGTACTGGGGTTTAGCAGTTTAGCTGCAAATACAACATACCCTTCAGTATCAAAAAAAAAAAAAGAAACTAATTATTTAGGCACTAAGCCTAATAAATATCTTTGCTGATCTCATGTAGCTGGAAAAAATCTCTTATTGGCAGAAAGGCCAGGGTGATATGCTCTGATAGGCCTTCCCATTAATCACATTGAGAATTGAGTACATTTCACTATTTTCTGGAATGCACTCATTTGTAACTTAAGCTGAAAGTCCCAATAGTTTTTAATTAGATCTGATCAACTCTGTGCGTATAAGATGGGTTATACAGACTGGCATATGTTCCACTTCATTCTTTATAGACCATATACTTGGCTCCCCTGTAGCCAAGCAGAACACTGTATTGTTGTCACAACCTCCTGGCTGCTAAACCTTGCTAAAACTATTCCAAACTTAACCCTCTTCTCACACCCTCTCACCACAGGAGCTGGTCCTCGTTATCACAGTAATTACAGTTTCTCTAAACAAGTCTAGTTTGTTGCACAAGAGCTGGAAATCTTTGTCTTTAAAGTCAGAAGAGAAATAAAAAACAACACAGGAAAGGGTCAGTATACATTCACGTTCTGGGCAATTACTAAGGCAGAGGACGTTCACGTTGCGAAAGAGCCACATGAATTCAAAAGCTGCTTTCAAAGTGTGCTGTAAGTTAAGCTTTCATTAATGTGAAACTCAGAGGTTAGTTCATACTGAGGAAACTTCAGTGGCAAGTGGCAGCACTAACCTGCACAAAGGCTGAATGGAAAATGTGAAAATAATTTAAATACAAATGTCAGCCTTGGAAAAGTTAGATCCTTGCAGAACACATAGCAGAAATGGACTTGGTTTGGCAACAAAACATGTTTTTTCTAGTGACATCAACTGCATCAATCACATGCGCTACCACTTGCACACAAGAATTCATAGTTAGGTAGTCTGGAAGAAAAATCCAGCCAAGAATGTGTACTCTGATTTATTTGCACACAATCACTTAAGAAGTGGTTTCAGCTTCTGACAAACTATGTGGTAATGAGCTGTAGCACTGGAAAACAGGAAACACACTTGGGGAAGGAGGAAGATGCACTCCATTTATTTTGGTTTGTTTGTACACAGCTCCAGTTTTCATGACAGTGTTTGTTAGTTGGGTATACCAGGACTTAGTTTTAGTTCAAAGAATAAAAGCCTAGAAAAACGTTACTGGCTGATTCATTGACTAAAATAAGAATTCAATTCAACACCCAAACTTCAAAAGAGCCAAAGCATGAAGTGTGACATTCTTTCTAAAGATTTTGTTGGTGATCAATTTAAGTTTAGTGTCAGTGCTCCGGGACCAGGCCTAGCCTGGCACTATTAGGATGCATCTGACTTGCTCTCCTGGAACCAAAAAATCTGGGGTACAACCCAGACACCTGAGCTGACTCCCCTGTGAGAAGGTGTGGGAATGAATCCTTGCACACCTAGCACTGTTTAACCAGTACTCAGATACTCTCTTAACAGATTACCACAAGCAGCTGTCTATTCTGACACAGTACTCAGTTGGTAAATAGCATTAACAAAGTTATTGAAAGAGAAAAGTTGAAACAGCTTAAAGCAAATACATTGTACAAAAAAAACAATGAAAAAAAAATAATCTCTTAACCACCACACTATATAGTTTGTCTTTGTTCAATCCTTCCAGCACTCCCATCTAATCTCCCTTCTTCAATTGTAAGGGTTTTTCCTTGACCTCTGACAGAACAGCAGCATTTTGTAAACCTTGGGAAGTATTTCCTTCCGAGGCCTTCATTGTTAAAACCATGACATCACCACTATCTCTCTTACTGCAAGATACAGGGAATTTTATAACATTTACAAAAACTAGTCTGGTTGCTGCCCATAATTCTAACTTAATTTCAAGTGTTCTATTAAGAGAATGTGTTCTAGAAAAAGCCCTCCATTTGTGTTACACAAGCAGTGCAGAGAACAAAATACCACCTGCCCAACTGACACCATAAAATTTTAACAACACGTGACAATTTATATGAAACCTGTCACACGGGAAGGTTGTGGATGAACATTGGTTATACGCTGTACTACCCCACTCACAGTCTGGTTTTCCTGGCTGTTTACAACAGTAGACATCAGTGTATCTCCTTGCATGTACATAACATCATTGAGAAGGGATTCCTTTCTCAAGAATCCAAATATAAACAGCCTGAACGGATTCTCAAAAGACCAGTTCAGTTCTGAAATCCTAACCGTCACTGGATTAATGCTTTTTGAAGAAGATCACATCTAGTCTGAAATCTAGGCAAAAATTAGCAGTGTAGAACTAGGATTGCAATGGCAGTTTAGAACGCTGGATTGATTGTTTCAGTATAGTCCCTTGTGACAAGTGAGGCCCTTTTGACATTGGTAACTGGAACAAAGGGAGAGTTCAGAAAAGATCAGGAATTGTTTCCGTATTACTTTGTATTGAAACCCATCCCACGTCCTGCAAATGGGCATGATCCCTTCTGGAGATTTTCTGCATTTGTCGTTTATTTATAGCACCATCACACTTAAACTTCTTTATTTATGGCTTGTTCTAAGAACAATGATGGAAACAGAATCTGATGATGTAAAGCTGATGAGAAAGCCTCAATGCAACTTTACTAGGTCAAAACAGGTACAAAGCAAAAGCTAATCAGACTCCCTGCACAGCAAGAAAAAAATAAAGAAAAATACCAGCTTCAGCGTAAGCCCTTGTAACAGCCTCTTCTTCCCAAGTATTTTAAGAATTAGTGTTAAGGTATGCAAGACAGAGTTTATTTAACCTGATTCTCTGCAGAACAGCAAAACAGTCTTCCCCTTTCCAATCCCAAACCCTTAAAGCCTACTCATCTTAAAATAGCATTTCATCTATGACTTGTCACACCTAGAATGAGTAAACAGATAATTATTGAAAGCTATTTCTGAAACAGGTTAGGTACAATTAGCTTCTCTATCTTATCTATCTATTTGTCCTTGCTCTTTTGTGTGGATTTTCTAAACAGTACAAATGAAAAGATTATATAAAATAAAAACTCATTTTAAAAAGCACCAGAATGTCAGATTGGCTTAGGCAGTGTCTGAACCTGTAAGAATTAACAAACCCTGTTAACTAGGAGACAGCAATGTTGACAGCAGTCTTTTTTTGGGCAGGAGGTACCCCCCAAAACTGTTACTTTAACCATAACACTGTGTGTGGTGCAAGGAAGTGTTTTAAAATTAAAATTACATATGAAAACCAGTCTTGCTTGGGCAATCTTATTTAAGTAGTTATCCTTCTGAAATACATCAATCCAGTTCAGATACTATCCAAGCAATACCATATGACACAATAATAGAGGCACATACATTCAAATGAGTTATATTAATTAAATTCTCTTTTCTACAAACAAGGAGAGTCAATAGTATCCTTTGGTACAGAATTGTAAAAAGTCAAGAGACAATGAGCTACGCAGTTAGGAAATCTAATTCCACTCCTAGCAAGGCCAGATGCCTGTTGGTAACACTAGGTAGGTCTAATTCAGCCTCCACGCAAAGAGAACTGAAATACTATATAAATCAAGGTAAAGATGAAGACTTGGAGGTCTATAGGTTGTAAGTGCTACAAAAAGAACCAAATTTATTTCTTCAGACACAAGATCAAACATGCTGTTATTACAGCTGTTTGAGTTCTTTTACATAAAGGTTTAGTGAAAACCCTGTTTTATCCCTTTCACGGGAATGTTTCCTTTGAAGGTTTACTTGCAGAGAGAAAGGGCAAAGCAGTTGGTCTGTTTGAAATCATTTTCCCCTGCTTTGATATGCATCAATATTAAACTGTTTTAGACGGTCTTGAGTATTTCTTTCTTTAAATTTAAATACCTTTTCCTGTATGGTAGAATTATTTAGCTAGAACTCACTGTAGGTGAAACCAAGCAATACAGAACTACGAAGAAATCAGGAGTTTTGTTTAACACTGAACATGTATTTCCTTTAAGACTTACCTTCTTTAAATTTTATGTAAGAGATTCTACTCATGTATTTTTATTTTTCTAGTAGACTATGAAGATTATTATGCAAGTTATATGTACATGCTACTTACCTAACATTTCTTTCTTTAATTTTTCATTCCGCTCTTCAATTTGTCTAGGTAATCGCTGTGGAGGGAGATACAAATTGGAATCAGACCCGTGCTTTCAATGACACTGTAGGTTAAGCTTATGGAATTTTCATACACATACCCAGGATACACCGTTTATGACTTAAAAAGAATCCTTATGTCAAACCACACTTTCATCTTATTTTGGAAACCTGTAATTCATCCTATGACATCAGTTCACATAAACAGCAAGTTGTAACTGGTAAGTGCAGGTTTCATACAGGCATACATTTTTACTGCTGAAAACCAGATCTGATCTGTTTGCTTGGGATTTTAACTGAAAAGCTTATGGAATTTAAGAGACTTACAATTAAAGTATATTTTAGCCCTATCTCCTCTGCTGCATACATTAAATTTGGTAAGAGAGGCTAGACGAACTAAGCAAGCACAGCACTTCTGAACATAAACACAGGTGTAATGAGGAAAACATCCATAAAGTCAGTTCTCAGTGGCATCACACTTCAGGGACATCCGCACTATGAAAACATTAATGTCTTCTAAAAACAAATATGTTATCAGAAGATCACTGAATTAACCGTCTATGAACTTCAGGGCATATTTTACGAGCAGCATCTTATTACGCAATGTAGGGCGCAGTTCTCAGGAGGACAAGGTATTACAAATGAGAACCCTGATTTGGCAACTGATCACAGGGAGGGAACTCCAACAGTTCATCCTGAGCAAGGTACTAGTCCAAGTAACAGTTCATTAACGTGATTTTTACCTCCTCAGAACTGGCACCAGTGGTAAAATCTGTTGCACCACCACAAACAAACTTATCACATGTTTCTAATGAGCAGTATGTAACTGTATGATCTATGCGTTCCTAATGATCTGAGATTCCCATTTATGCCTGGAACAGCTGTGGCTCATCTTCCATCCTTACACAGTACAGGTGTCTTGCTATATGATTGTAATGATAATTTTTAATTAGAATTTTATATTCACTACAATTGAATTTACCATAGTTCCATTTAAATTTTGCATCTTCTGTACATCAGTTAAATACAATATTAAACCAAAATATATTATGAGTGACAGTCACTTTTTATACAACTTTTTCATATTTTTCAGAAGTACTATTTCTAGCTTTTATACTATGCTTATTACTGTATAATTCTAGCAGTTCTGCATACAATTATATGCATAACTATGCTGTCTCTTCTTGTGGAGGTGATAGCAAATAAAGACAGATCTGCTGTAATGGTGCTATCAGTAAATTAATTACAGTTGCAGACTATGGTAACAGGTGTGGCATTCACTCCTGATACACTTCCTTTGTGGTAATTGGCTTCTCAACATAGTTAAAGAATTAATTTCCTAATCTTATTCCTTCCTGTCATTTACAGCTCCAGTCATCACAGATAGGTTTGTCATTCTGATATCATTGCTGCTACAGTGAAATAAGATGTTCACCTCAAGAAAAAGCCCATTGCCAAGGCTGCCTGACTATTCCTCTGCTCTTCAGTGCAGGATACACTGGTGAACACAGGCAAATACAGTTCATTTTCCATAGCGATGGGGACAAGAGGTGATACACCCCAGAAAAATGAGTACTAAGGAATACAGTGCAGATATATATGGATGGCTAAGCTTGAAACCAGCCCAGGCCCAGCATCACCACCAGTGAGCCAGATCTAATTAGTCCAGTCAGACCTCATCCAACTCCTGCTGACCCAGAGGGGCTTATTAAGTTGGGTGCAGATCTGGACCTAAGCTGCCTGCATGAAAACATGTGTGGATATCCCCAGGCTCTAAGTTCAGTTTGCATAGTGGCTGTGAGATTTGCTGAATCTTGGATGAGTTTGGCATATATAATGTGTGTCTCTCACATTTGGACAT